AATGCAGATGCCCTAACTGGTGTATGAAGAATTCTCGATACTGAAAGGATTTCGTTGTGAGATGTTATGGTGTCGATGTACGATTATTGTGCAGTGCAGCTTGCCTTCTGAGATCCTTAAAGCGGATTTCACTGAATTTCGTGTATCTTAATTGTGCTGAACCAAGCCTCAAAGCTAATCTCTGTCTGTCGACAGTTAATTAAGGCTACATTTAAACTCATTATTTAATTCCCAAAGCTCATACTCAACATTTATCATGCATATCAAACAAGGCTTTGATCATGATTCAGGGACTTTGCCCGACAAATTTAGAAGAGACCGTTGAAAAGGTTCTCTATTGGAGATTCCGGTCAAATTTATAAAATGTGAAGTACCGTGGGAATAGCTTAAATCTCGTGCATTTTGTTCTTTTCAATTTTGGGTGGAGTGTTTGACCTATCACCGATCTAATTTGACGTATTACTGACCAAAGAAGAGGTACAGTGAAACCCTTTTGAATACTGCGTTGAGGAGGGCACAGAAAGTGTCCATATTAAGAGGGTTGAATTTAGAGAAAATGTAACAAAGGGCTTTCCCAGGAACAAAGAAAACTGTTCGTAATAACCACGTGTCTGTTAAGCCGGGTTCTACTGTAGTATTGGGTTCTACTGTTTGGTACTGAAATCTTCATGTCGAAGATAAAGTCAATAAAGTTGTTGTTGTTGTTGCTAATAAACTGTAGTTGTATTAAGGTGTATCAGTGTCGTTCTAAATCTTTTTCTCGTACTGGAAGTACTTAAAAATGGGATATAAGTAAATAATAAATGAAGGCATGAATGAATAAATAAACAAACAACATGAATGATTATCGAAACGACCTGGTTCTAATTTTCCGTTCCAGAGACTAAAAGGGGAATGGGTACGAGCTTTTGACGAAACGATTCATTCTGGTGAAGAAGCGTTTCTTCTGACTGGTTTATGGTTCCCTTGGATACCATCAGCCTCTCAGAATCAAGGGTTTGAATCTCGTAGACGTCTGAATTTTTTTTCAGGCTTTCTTTTCGCAACTCCTACAAAATAGCGCCAATAAGACTGCGTTTATCTTCTTTCATTTAATTAACTTGAATTGTGTGACTGGCATTACATAAGGAAGTTTATGGGGTCTTCCACAAGTCTATACGGGTTGATTAAAACAGAGAGCAAGTCTGTTTCATTTCATATTCAACAGACCTTTGTCACGTGGCGGCCATTTTGTCTCAAGAGATTTAAAAAGCTTTGTTTATGCCCGGCTAGCCTCGTTCTCTCTACGAGGCTAGCCGGGCATAAATCTCTTGAGACAAAATGGTCGCCACGTAACAAAGGGCTATAAGTTGACGTCATTTCTTAGTTCGAGTCAAATATTATGGTGTCGGAAGTCAAGGTGAGCGTTTCGGCCATTGCTGGTGTGACATTTTGTCGTCCTAAAGCGTTCACGCAGAAAGACGTCGCCAATTATGATTAGTTTTTTTTGCGTTGCATTCAGACTTGCTTGAGACCTCGGTAGAGGAGATTAAACTGTCTGCAAATACCGCCACCAAGGAAGGTATTGAGATGATGTATCGAGAAAATGCAAATGTTCGAAGAAGGTTAGTGTCGTTATGTAACTGTTGCAGACCTTACAGGCCGGGCCGTTGTGCAGCGTTATGGGAATGGATTGTGTCAAAGAAATGAATAACCTTTCACTTACCGTGCTTCTGTAGCTTTTCTAATTAAATTTCAACGGACATAGGAAGTCCGAGGTACGAGTATAACAGACTATACTTAATCCCGGCGGCAAAAAGATGAAATAATAAACAAAGTTATGTCTGTAATAATTGCTATTATTATACATAACGCTTGAATTCTTTCAAACAAATTTGCCCAATACTTCGGTTCGTAAGCCAAACCATCCTCGGGGGCTTATATCACAACAGCAAGACCTGAACAACAGCTTCAAGCAATATATCATTATATCAAACGTTTCAAACGACAAAAATGAACTTTGAATTACTGTTAGGCCTAACAAGTTTTCAAAAGCCACAATTCCAATCAGAGTGTGTCCATCGGTGCTTTCTTTTGTATGTGCGGGGATATTCATCTTTTCTTTGTAGTTCTCTCTGATGAATTTCGTGACACAGTTTCTTTTGCGGGAACATGTCAGGGGCAACATGTTGAATGTAAGATTCAAACAGTAGATATAGGCATATCATCTGTTCGGACCAAAGTCTGGTGATCCCCTTCTCGAAAATTTCAGTGGCCTTTTTTAGGGTCAAAATAATTGTACCATTTTGTAGATGTTCTCCTAGGAGAGGCAGGCAAGCAAATTTTACAACAAATGGTCTTCCGAACAGATATTTTCCCGAAAATTGCCGTTCCCCTGACATCATCATTGACCAGCTCCCAGTTCATCGAGAGCTCACGGGTTCAAATCCCGTTGAAGTCCTGAATTTTTTTCAGGCTTCTTACGCAATTGCATAAATTGCGTTCACAACTTCAAAACTGCGCGGATCATTTTTAATTTGACAGTTTCTTCAGTAGCCCTACGCCCCCCCCTTCGTGGGGAGTACTCGACCAATATTTGGGTATAGGTGAGCCGCGGAGGGTTTGAAACCCTGACCCTTCTTAGGACAAAAAATTCCTAAAATGCGTACCCCGTTTAGTACAACACCCTCAATTTTATTACCCTGTTTAGGACAAAAGACAAAATGCACGCCGTCTTTGTTGGAATTGGAATAGAGCTAATTCACTTTCTTTAATAGTCATTGCTTTTGTATACTTGGAGTACAAACAAAACTCTTCTAGCGAAGTCAGTTGATCAATCGTGCAGGCTGGCAGACCGAGACGAAATTATATACTCTGTTTAGGACAAAGAGGTCAAAATCAATACCCTGGATATCGGTACATCCCTGTATAGGCCATATATATAAGGGAGTATCTGGGCTTGGTTCAGGCCTTATTTTTCCCCTAAAGGAGAGCACCTGTGAGGAAATGCCGAACACTGTTTGCTTCTTTCAATTCACCAACTTCCTGTGCACAGGAGTTGTTTTGATTCTGACGACAAAGGAAAATAAACTCCGATCCATTTAAAGAATTTCTTTATCAAAAGGGAGCTTAAACAAATACGACAACGACGACGACAGCTTCAAAACAACAACTCTGCACGTGAGTAAATTTCTTTGACGTCGACTGCACGACTACGACGTGAAACCTGCTAATTTGCCGTTTTATGGAGGACGTGGACACGACGACGAATTTTCCTTCCTCTTTTTGAACTTGAATAAAATCCTTACGAATTCAACTCCAGTAAAAATCGTCTGCGTTTGACATATTGAGCGGGTCCAATAGACGCGATTAAGTTTGAAAGAACGCAAATTCATTTTTTTTAGCGACGCTTTGACTGTCGTCGTCGTCGTAATTTAAAGTCCCAATTTATCCATTTCACGACACCACCACTGGTTTCCCCTCCTGTCGTTCGGCGAGGAAAATTTGCTGAAAGACAGCAAAGAGAGAAGGAAGCTTAAAACCCAAACAATTAGCCCAAGGGTGAGTTAAAAGAGTGAAAGAAGAGGAAACATTGAAAAACCGTAACGGCCGTTGCATATGAAATGTGAAAGATAAAAAATGTGTAAACTTCAAGAAAATCAATTGAAACGGAAGGAAGAAAAGTGTAAAATTGGCCTAGGAACGGAGAGAAATTGGAATTGGGGGGGGTTAATTTTAGAATAGTACGTTAACGGAACGCCAGAAAAAAATCCCTATAGCATCTACCCTGCCTCTTTTGCATTTAGCCATTATCATTATTACTACTGATGTATAATCGTCAGCTGCTTAGTAAATTGACGTGTTAAGGATGATTTAACCACTAGGTATATGAACAACCTGTGCAAAAAGGTCCTTCGCACTTTATCCAGTAGACCTTTTTACCGATACGGCGGCCATATTGAATTAATTAGAGTTAAAGGAGTAATATGGGATGCCCAGGGGGCATGAGCGAAATGCGAACGAGGGTTTACTCGAGGAATTTTAATCAGCCTATAAATGTCATAATAGCACTAAAACTGCACTTAGGGTCCATAATGACATGTTGAAAACTGGCGTTGTCATAAAATCTGTTATTAGACTATTGCTTGATTTATTGGCTGCATTAGACACTGTCGATTTTACTCTTTTTTATCGCCTAGATTGGTAAATCATTTTGGCGCAAGGGACAGTGTTCGTTATTGGTTTCGTTCATATCTTCAGTTTTTTTTGTTAATGGTACTGAATCGTCACTGAAGTGTCTGCAAAACGGAGCACCATAGGGATCCGTATTGGGTCCTTTATTGTATTCGGACCTGGAGATAGAGCCTGGACAGCATTACATACCATTTCATCTTTATGCAGATGATACATAGCTGTATCTTCCGTTTACTTTTAACTGTCCTAATCATATAATTAGCTCCAAAAAGCCACTAGTTGAGCAACGTGGTCAGGATATTGGCAACCAGTTCAAGATATCGGTTCACGACCTCCCCCCAATCACATCTAAATCGGAAACGATGTTACCATTCCAAGTCAACTTGCCAGGAATCTAGAGTTTGGATTCCATGAGTATTTTAATCTTAGTAAGCACGTTAAGATGACGTGCCAGAACATGTTTTCGTGCCTTTACATTATAGCTAAAATTAGGCGATATTTATCTCAGAACCCTGCCAAGACTACCGTTCACGCCTACATAACCTCGCATTTAGAGTATTTTAATGTCTTACTGCGATGGTCTCCTTATATATCTGATAAATCTGATAAATAGAGTTCAACTAGAAGAGAATTCTGCAGTTCGCCTTGTCACCCCTTCATTGCCGCCTTCTCCTGCTCCTGTGGGATAGTTGGAGGGGGGAACATTACACCGATCACCGATACCAAGGCGTTTACATTGGCTCGCTGTGCGCTTCAGATCGATTTTTAAAATATTGCTACTGGCTTACAAGGCTCTCAGTGGTCTGGTATTACTGAGACCCTGGAATATGGCGCTATTCATTATATGTAAGACCCTGAAGAAGGAAGGCCATGCCTTCCGAAATATTGGTAAAAATATATATATATTCCCGACTGTCAAATCAGCTTT